AAAAAAAAAAAAAAAAGAAAAAAAGACCATCTTATTTATACATGTTTTTCTACATTTCTCCTGTATTTCAACAGTTTTGCTTTTAAAATATGTATTTTTTGCAGCCACAATCAGGAGATGCCTTCTGGGTGTCATACTTTGACCATTAACTTTAATTTTGAATTTATTCAAAGTTTTCTTATTTATCCAATCTTTCCTCATATTCCCTTGTTTTTATGGATAAGCTTCCAATATTTCTGCCTAAACTTGTTCAAGTTCTAAACATGAGTTTCTTCATAGTAGAAACACAGTCAAGTGTTCCCTCATTTAAGAAACTTCATTAACACTAGTATTAGGGGCCTATCAGGTATTGATACTGACAAGCTTCCATCACCAAGTTGGACTTGGGTGGTTCGGTCCTGTTCTTATGGCCAGTAAGAAGTTAGGTGAGGAGGTGCTCCAATTATTCTGTCCAATAGAATTAAGAGAAAGGGAACCAGTGGGCACAGGAAGACAGCTGGACCTCTCACTGGGATACTGCAAAGGCTAACAGCCAGTCTAGGAACTTAGCCACAGTGGGCCCTCCTTGAGCCAGTTCCACTGTTCAGAGAGCTATGCCAAGCCCCTAAAAGACCTTAAAGGCTGACAAAACATTTGACTTTTCGGTAGAATCCTATCATTAAGTATATAAGCAATCCAGTATGGTGATCTTATGTTAACTTGTATCTGACTGACAAGGGGAAAAAAAGAGAAGAGTACTAATAAACTTAGCCTAGATGGTAAAATATATCAAAACAAGGGTCTATGTAAGAACAAACAGAAATCTTTGGTGTTAAAAGGTTGGAGGCAGCTGGGTGCAGTGGCTCATGCCTCTAATCCCAGCCCTTTGGGAAGCTGAGGCAGGAGGATAGCTTGAGGCCAGGAATTTGAGACCAGCCTGGGCAACATAGCAAGACTTTGTTTCTTCAGTTATTATGGCTATTCCCAACAACAAAAAGTTTGGAATAGCTGTAATACTTATCTGGGATATATCTATTATGTAGGAATTAGTATCTATACTTTTCTTATGCCAGGCACTTAGCTGCCCCACCAAAACGTCTTTCACTTACATAATAAAGAGGCAGGATTTGAATTCAGACAGATCTGGCTCTTAAATACAGTCCATTTCACTGCACCATGCTACCTCCCACAACTAGGATGGGAAAAGACATTGACAATTGTGAAAAGCCTGGAATGCACGAACTGATCAGTTTAAGAGGGTTCGATACATACACCTCCTACAGTGTTATGAAACTGTCCCAAATATTTAGGAGGAACTGGGTGTTTACAGACACTAGAATTAGCTTTCAAACTATGCCAAAAACATGTCGTTTAACATTCAAGTGCTCAAAATTAAATTGTACTTCTGCCCTCAGAAAACCCTAGTTGATAGCTTGGGTGTTTCTTATCATCTTTATTAGCTGGGGTTATGAAACTTAAATGGGTGATGTTGCTGAAACACTTTTCTCTAACACTTTCCCATGGGGAGTTAGAGGGAGGCTGCATGATTTGGCTGGGTTTTGTTCATCACAAATTAGGTCAACAGCCCAATCCCAAAAGAAAGCACCATTAATGAAATGACATGTTTCAAGGGCTTTCCAAAATCAGTCCACCGGGTTCTGGCAAGCTCCAGCAAGGGTGGAGAGGGGTAAGGGGCAGCCAGGCCTTAATGGCCTTCTAAACTTGGGTCCTGTATCTGACAAGGTTTCCAACGGCTCATATGAACAAAACTGACTTTGCTGTTACAGCTGTTATGCAATTAAAGAGGCCAAATGCTGAAATAAAAATCTTACTTAACAACGAGGATTTACAATAACAAAAAATTATCCTGAGCTTTTTCTTCAGTGATGCAGCCACAGATGAGAGAAAAAAAATCAACATTAGGAAACAGAATGTTGATTTCCTTTGTTCTAAAAATAATCAAGTAGCTTATTTTTAGCCAAAATGCAATATAGCAATGAATCAATACTTTGTGAAATGTTTAACACTGATATCCAATCTTTTAATGTTACCCTTTAAGATTATTTCAACAAGCAAACTAAGTGTTAGCAGTTTTTACTGTTAATTGCCAAATAGGTTTAGGAATATTACGTTTCCTCCCTTGCTTACAACAAAAACAAATACAAAAATGAAAGTTATAGGTAAAGATACATTATTTATCAGTGTTTTTTTTTTTTTTTTTTGAGACGGAGGCTTACTACTGTCACCAAGGCTGGAGTGCAGGGGCGCAATCTTGGCTCACTGCCACCTCCGCCTCCCGAGTTCAAGCTATTCTCCTGCCTCAGCCTCCCAAGTAGCTGGGATGTCAGGCTCCCAGCACCATGCCTGTCATCCCAGCTAATTTTTTGTATTTTTAGTAGAGACAGGGTTTCGCCTGAGTGACAGAGACTCCATCTCAAAAAGAATAGTGTCTATCAACCTACACTGCACAGGAGGAGCCCTTGGGAATTGCATTTTTTAAAAAGACCCAAGGTGGACCCTCACGCCCCTCATCAACTAAACAGAATTGGGTACTTTCCCAGGTGAGGCCCATGTGCAGCCATGATTCAGACCTTGGAATCCCATTCAGCCTTGAAGTTTGGGAGGAATGAATTCCGCTTGTAGCTCCAGGAGAGATTTATGATTAAATTTAAGGTGTTTAGCCCATCTCCTTGGCCAAGGAGACTTAAGGAGACACTGGCTGAGGATTTCTAGAAAATGTTATTCATTCTTCTGTAAAAACTGCAGCCAGGACTACTCTGGTTCATCACACCAATTCAGATGGGTTACCTTTCACCAGAGACATTAAAGGCTCCAAATTAGAAAGCCACACACAGGCATGGTGAAGTAAAGAAAAGGGTGGACTTTAATGTTTATTTACAGGATGCTGCAAGATATGAAATTCCACATAGAAATAAGAAACCTAGTCAGAGGACAAGCTTCATACAGTATGTACAGTTGGAACTGTTCAAGTATAGTTTCAGTGTAAAAAGTGCTACAATAACAAACCACATTTAAAAAGAGTTCTTAGTAGAGAAACAATAAGACAAAATACCAAACATGGTACACAACAAATGTATGCCTCAGCTACGTGATCTAAAAGGTAAAGGTCCCAGGAGCCCCATCCTGAACTTGGAAGGTGTAGCCTTCAGAGGTAGTTTCCGGCACAACGTTTTGATCTTCCTCTTCCTGGAAATATATTATAAAAAGAATGTAAGTATTTCAAGCAGCAGCCTACCTAGAAGTCTATATTTAATCTCTGGGTCTTGATCTGCATATTATACCTTTAATCCTGTATGATATTCTAGTATTTGACATAGGGGAGGGAGGGTCTCTGAAACTTTGCCAATTCATGAGTGCCTGGGGAGTTGCAGGGACTGGGGATAAGAAATGCTACTACAGTGACAGAAACAGATTTTTTTCTTCCCCAACTGCCACTTTTCAACAGGAAAAGACTGTATTACGCCCAGAGCATAGTGGTGGGTTTGGCCTCCTTCTGTATCACCTCCTACAATGACACCTACTAACTTACCCTCCAGATATTCTAAGATTCTCAAGGCTGTTCATTTGAAACTAATCTGGTGACTTTTAAAATCTCAGTTTAAAATGATTTTATTACCATCAAGCCAAACTAGAGGGGCAAATAAGTACATTATGTCCTATGCACACTGATATTTTACTATATTTAACAAAGACATGAGACTTATTTTAAAAAGTATGAGGGGAAAAAAAGGCTCATGGCCTTGACTTTAGATGTTTCCAAGTTGTTATTAATATTACCATCCATTACTCACCTCTACAGAGAAATACTTCTCAATTAAGCTTAACGAAGCCTTATACACAGACTCATTTTCATGGTTTTGTAGAGCTTCAATTTTGTCTAAGCCGCCACATTCTTCAATCATTATACTAAGTTTCTCAGTTTCACCTAGTTTTTCAGCAGCCTAAAAAAAAAAAAATTCCAAGTTTACTGGTGTATACTCTGAATGTTTTATTTTAATGAACAAAACAACATCGATAATTTGAATATAGATACATGTCAGGCAGAAATAATCACCTAACAGTTCCTTCAACAAACCTATCACCATCACAGTCCATTTTATATTTTGTTGAAATTCAATGTGATTGGATCTATACCTGCTTTTAGCACTACTTCAACTGGAGCCAAAGATCTTACAATCAATAGCTCTCAACCTTTTCTATGTATCAAAATCACGTGGGCAACTTTTAAAACACACTACATTCCAGTTCAACTGGTCTGCTATGGGAACAGGGGCTTATTGTTCTGTAAAACATCCTTTATCATCACAAGGTGTAGTCAAGGTGTCAAAGGCAAAGATGGCCTATGGAGTGCTAAACTAAATGTCTGACCAGAATGTGTGTTGGTATTAAGGATTTACTGGACATACGGAATGGTATGTAGGTTAGTTTTCCTTTAAATTTTGAACTTTAAAGAGATATATAAATATCTATAGATGAAATAACAGATTTGCTTCAAAGTAACTTAGGGGATTAGATGAGGTGAAGAAGAAATACTGGCCACATATTGACAAATTATTTATACACAGTGACAAATACGCCAGCATCCATTATTGTAGGCTCAACTTTTTTTTTTTTTAGACAAGAGTTTCACTCTTGTTGCCCAAGATGGAGTGCAATGACGCAAACTCAGCTCACTGCAACTTCCGCTTCCCGGGTTCAAGCGTTTCTCCTGCCTCAGCCTCCTAAGTAGCTGGAATTACAGGCGCCTGCCACCACGCCCGGCTAATTTTTTGTATTTTTAGTAGACGGGGTTTCACTATGTTGGCCAGGCTGGTCTCAAACTCCTGACCTCGTGCTCTGCCCACCTCAGCCTCCCAAAGTGCTGGGATTACAGGTGTGAGCCACTGTGCCCAGCCTGTAGACTCAACTTCTATATGTAAAAATCTCTAGAATCTAAAGTTGATGAGTAGGACTTACCTACCACCAATCACTATGACAAAGTGCCATATGCTGGTATGCTTGGATCAGTTAGGGATACAACCAGAAGAAAAATATAAGTTATTCAAATTTTTTTTTTCTGAGATAGTTTCACTCTTCCGGCCAGGCTAGAGTGAAGTGACATGATCTTGGCTCACTGCAACCCCCACCCTCGGCCCAGGGTTCAAGCGATTCTCCTGCCTCAGCTTCCCAAGTAGCTGGGATTATAGGCGCCTGCCACCACACATGGCTAATTTTTGTATTTTTAGCAGAGACAGGGTTTCACCATGTTGGCCAGGCTGGTCTCGGACTCTTGACCTCAGGTGATCCACCTACCTCGGACTCTCAAAGTGCTGTGATTACAGGCATGAGACACCATGACTGGCCAAGTCATTCAAATTTAATTTCACCAAAATTCAGTATGAAATTGGGACATTAAATCAACTAAGTAAACAGATGTGATGAGTCCACATAAACGCCCGACTTCGATTCAGGTCCCATCATCCACTTGTCATCTCTTTCATCTTTGATAATGCCTGCCACATTTTTAATCAAAGGTGTGGCCCACCTAAACAGGCTTTCTGAATCTGTGGCTTACTAGTGACTAAACTTACAACAGTTGCCCTCCCCCAGGTCTAAATAGTAAACTGATTATTATCAAGTTCAAATTCAAACAAAGCCACCTTGATAGGACTTACCTGAAAGATATTTGAAATGGCATCCAGGATAACCAGAATAATCTTGGTATCTTTTGCAGTTAAGAGGTTCATCAACGGTTCTATTATGCCACAGTGAACAAGGTACACAATCTGCTCAACTGTTCCACCACTAGTGTAGTTGGTCACGGCCCATACAGCTTCCTTTTGTGTCTTAAAATCTGCCTATTAAACATAAGGAAATGGTTTTATTTCAGAAAGTTGCAAGAATAAGTTTCCAAGAGTACTTTTTCACAAAAACAATGACTCAAAGTACCAAGGTTCTATCCAACTGTAAGTGAAAGGGGTTACTGGGTATTTTTCAGCAAAGGACTCCAAGTAGAACCCAAGATTCTTGCACGTGAAGAAGCTTATCAAGCAGAGCTTTCTATAAATACTAAAAATGACTTCATTAAATCCTAAGACTTCATTACCTTAGAGAGAACACTGACAAGGAATGGGACTAATCCATGATTCACAACTTGCTGTATCTGGTCCTGACGGCCAGCTGTGATGTTTGACATTGTCCATGTAGCTTCCTTCTGAATGTTAGTTTTGGGGTTGGTGAGCAGGCTGGGAAAGACAGCGAGTGCTCCTGCATCAATTACAACCTGAGTCTGTTCATCTGTACCAGTGACAATATTCCCTATGGCTCTTAGGGCAGGAGTCTGAAAAAAAAAAAAAAAAAAGTTGACGCTGGTTTTTTCTCAGCACTTCAGAAATTCTGTACCCTAAAAGTTTTAACAAGAGGCCCATCATGGGTATGAAATAGGTAATATTTCAATATTAGTATCAACTGATAATGCTTTTTTTTTTTTTTTGAGAGACAGGAGTCTTGCTCTTGTCACCCAGACTGGAGTGCAATGGCACGATCTCGACTCACTGCAGCCTCTGCCTCCCAGATTCAAGCAATTCTCCTGCCTTAGCCTCCCAAGTAGTTGGGATTACAGATGCGTGCCACCACATCCAGATAATTTCTTTGTATTTTTAGTAGAGATGGGCTTTCATCATGTTGGCCAGGCTGGTCTCTAACTCCTGACCTCAGGGGATCCACCCCCCTTGGTCTCCCAAAGTGCTGGGATTACACAGGCGTGAGCCACCGTACCCAGCCCTGATCATGCTTTTTATACTTATGTCCTAATCTACAAGTAAATAACTTACCACAATTGGCAATTCAGAAGCTCCTAGAAGCTTCACAAGTTGGGGCACAACTCCTGTTTTCACGACCATGTCAATTCGTTCATTCGGACCATCAGTAAGGTAGGAAATAGCCCAGCAGGTATCTGCTAATACTTCTGGATCATCATGATGCAGGAGCCGAACTAAGGTAGGAAGAATCTGCTCAACAGCATCTATCGGGGGTGCAGGATTCTTGTTGCGGCAAAGATTTGAAAGTGTCCAGGTAAGATTACGTAAGTAGCCACACTAGGGGGAAAAAAATAGGCAATGAGAGGTTCTGTCTTTTGAGAAGATGGGGGAAATTAGAATGAAGAAGTGAGTAACTTTATTCATGTTAGTAACTTACTGCTAAAGATGACATATCAGGAACCGCAAGCAGAGCCAACAGTGGGTCAACTGCACCATACTTAATAACCAAGTCTCGGAACACTGAGCCGTCACCTGAAAAAAAAGGCAAGATTAATTTTATTATCTTGTCCAACACCATCAATGTTCAGTGACTGATGCACCAGCAAAAACTCCCAAACGTACTTAGATGCCCCTCTGCTGCCTTTGTAAAGACGACACTTTCATTCCTAATAACGGCTTGAAAGCAAGCTCAAAACTTGACGAAGTCGTTACTACTTATAAGGCCTTTCTTCCAACTCATTACGCTTAGATACATTCAGTCAAAAGAACTTCAAGTCCAAGTACCTGCAATGTTTCCTAGAGCCCAGACGGCTTGTTCACTGATGTGAGCATGGGGAGATGCCAACAGAGAGATGAATGCTGGGATGGCACCTCCATCTACCACAGCCTTGGTCTGTTCTGATGTCCCAGAAGCAATGTTAGTGAGTGCCCAAGCAGACTCAAACTGAATGGGACTACAATCAGTTCTGCCCAAGAAGGACACAAATTTTGGAATCAAACCAGCCCGGATTATGTTGTCTATGGGGGGCTGTTTTTCTCTAGAAAGTAGTTTCCTAAAGGGGAACAAAAAGAGAAATAAAAGTTGAAAGTGGTTAACAAAAGGAGTTTGTGTAAAAACCAATTTAAAATGCAATTCAACAGTTTAGAACTCAGACAACCTTTTAAGTAAATCACTAAATGCTGAGACATTCTGGAACCTAAGAGAAGCTGAACAGATTACCTGTATGGTGCTATATATGCGGTATAATTAACTACCATTTTTCCAAAAATTAATGTAGATTACCCTCCTCTCCATCCCTGCAGAAATCTACAGATCTTGTCACTTTTTAAAAAAACTTTTGACATTCTGACAGGGTTAGACTCCCATTGTTAACTGAATTTGTTCTCCCTGATAGTTGTGGTTAAGCACATTTTTATTTTTTGAGACGGAGTCTC